ATTCATAAGACATTCTAGGACAATTACACTAAATCAGACTACAGTAATTTCAAACACAGTCAGGCGCTAGTTAGAGTAGGACTGATAGAGGAAATAGCAATTAATGGCATAAAAAAATAGGTCACTTAGACAAAATATATGACATTAAATAGTAGAATGCAACTAAAGATTAAGCCATTGTAATGCAATGGGTTCTTGGACTCTACCTTGAACCAGTTTTGAAGAAACAGTGACGGCAGATTACCTTCATAAGGTACCACATGAAACCACATGATACTGATTCTCCCTCAGTGAAGGCTCTCTCCCACCACCAGTCCTCATCTTGGGAACCCAATTCCTTGGCCTAAAGGCTCATGGCCCTGTTGGGGATGCTGTGAAGTCTCTCCCTCCCGCTGGTAAATGGGATTTGGAGAAAATTGATGTGTGGATAAGAGAACCCTTGAGCCACACCCCTTGACCTGAGCAAAGGCTGCTCCATCCAATATATTCATTAAAAAGATAAGCTGTAGGTGTTTCCTCAGGGGAACTGTCATGTCTTATATTTAACCTGATTATATACCTAAATGAGCTCTGTCCAGAGGGCATATATACAATTACCTATAAATTATATCCATCCCTAAGGAGGATATAATTTATCCTTCACTCCTTTACTACCTGTAACAGCTATCAGCCCATACCACAGTGAATTACCACTCCTTGCATCACCTCAGTTATGCCAGTGAGGTGGAAGGGCAAAGCCCCGAGTGGAAGTCAATAACAGCATCTTGTAACTTGTCTAGAGACGCACAGAGAGTTTTTCTTCTGTCATATTGTGCTTAGACCATAAGTTCATCAGGAAAAACTAACTACAACTACGCAATAAGTTAAGAGGTCTCAGCAAGCTGTGACATTTTGCTATGCTTAGAATAGACACCACAATTCTTGTGCAGCAAGAAGTGCTGAGATGGTTTTAATGGCATCTGCTGTCTCTTGATTGACAGAGCATAAACATTTCAAAAGTACAAGCAGCATTACTGCAGCCATACAGCACTAGACAGCATTATTTACCAACTGTGACCGAGCTACTGCAATCAGTCACAAATTGCACATCTAGCTGAGGGTTATTCTGATTTTGTTTGAGAAATGTCCTCTTCTGGATGAAGAGGTATTAGCAGCTTCACAAACACTGTCAGCTAATCAAAAAATATTAGAGAAGCTTTCCACAGCTTAGTGGTTTTCTGTCACTTACTCTAGATGTTAGGAATGTGTGGAAATGAATAAATGTATTAATACACAGCAGCCTGTCAGGAGCCCTTGGCACGTCGTGAGCCCTTGTACTGCATTTACCAGTCAAATCTGCCTGATACTCCCAGCACTCCCTAAAAGCGACCCATTCACATGGGAATTGACAAGGAGTCTGCTTTTAAATGGTAATATTTCGTATTATGGTGCCTGACACTAATTTCTACCTAAGACAAAAGTAATATTTAATTTACACACCTGACTCGAATGTGCTATTTATTTACCTCACATTTATGTTCAATAATTTGAGTGACACTTTGACTTTTCTTACAGAAAGCACTGCCTGTGTGCTACTGATTGCTCATATACACAGCAAGAGTGCTCACTAATTTCATCCCCACCAAGTTCTGCTTGCTGCTATCTAGGTGGATGAAACATGCCTTTCTGGACTCAGAAATACCCTTGTTCTGGGACAGAAACAGACTATTGGATGGGAAGGGAGGCCAGGGTGGCAGCAACAAGGTATGCAAGGGAGAAGGGAGGAAAGGGGAGAAAAGCACTGGTGGAAAAAAACAAGAAATAAAGTGAAGACAAGTGAGGCCTCTTTCCGTAAACTTCCTCTTTTCCTTTCTTCTAAGGTCCTCTCAGGCTTTTCCATCATCCCTTTTGATTGACAGCTTCCTGCCTTCTCCCATTCATCTTTTCTGATTCCTTTACATTTGGCTTTTTCCTCTACTAACACACACCAAAAAGTGGTCCCAAGTGACAGAGCCTGCTCCCAGCAAAGCAAGAGCTGTGGGCAGTTGGGCGATACCCCTGCCAGCTGGAAACCTCTCAAACAGGGAACTGCAATGCAGTCCAGTGCTGTCTTGCCATTATACAGCAGGGAAAACCACTGCAAAGATGGATGCTCCTGTGGAAATACTGGATATCAAAAGGTTTCCTTTTGAGTTGGCATCAAGACAAAGAAAGTAATGACATGCCAGTAAATTGTTTTGCATAAGAACAAACAAATCTCTCCCATACAGAATGGGATGCACATCTGAACAGTAACCTTTTCTGTGCTTTGGTGTCAGAAACAGAGCAGCTGAGTGGTGTGAATTTAGGAAGCATTTTTAAATGGAAAAACGTGGTTCAGCAAAAAAAAAATATACAACGTACCTTCTGTTGACACTGGTATCACAAATTGATAATATGCCACTGTAGATCAAGGAAGAAGACAAATGAAATAAGAAACAATCCCCTCTTACAGTTATTTCTAACTAGGCAATTATTCTACTAAGAACTTTTACAAGCAGCAATAACGTGCAGTATCTCATCTGCTCATGGCTTGTGACACTGTAGTACCAGAGCATGTCATAGGGCTGCAGTTCTGCCTTGAGAGGAGTATCCTTTGGCACAAAACACAGATCACATCCTGCTCCCACTTACACTTATGTGAAACCAATGTGCTTGATTTATTCCAGCAAAGGGATCAGAATACAAGAAAGTCATTTTTTAAGATATAACTGATTTGAAAAAGGCCAAGATCTCATCAAAGAAATCAAAATAGCATACATTGCATGATATATGGATATGTACTTTACCTTCTGATGTGTTCCAAAAGACACATCTCACTTTGCTGCAAGCTGTATCTATGCATAAAAAAATTCAGATGAACTTACACAGCGTCACAGCCTTAAGACTGATTCATGTGTTTGATCAAGAGCTTATCAGTTTTATGACAAATTACCAGTCAGTAAAATTTAATACACAAAATTGTATACTCTGTGATCCTTGAGTAATGCTTGATATATGAGATTTTTCAGTAGCATTTTTTCAACTATTTAATACAAATTTCTTGCAGGATTTTTTGTATTGCAATATTTTTCATTTCTTTTGATCTTCAGTGGCAATGTAATATATCTTTATATGGAGACTACCAGGAGAATTTCTTTGGACAGGGAGTAATTTTTTTTGCTGTTATTCTGCTGGTTCCTGTTAGATTCAGTTGCACATAGATATTTAGTATTTTATAGCACTGTATCTTTGTAATCTTAAGTGTTCAGTAAGAACAAAACACATTTAGGCTAACCTTCCCTTTTGGTATTCCTGCACTAACTATGGGAAGAATTATGTTTAATTACCTGTGAAGCATCACACACACTTACTACATTCAGCAAGTAATAAACCAAATTTTGAGGTTTCTCCAAAGCTCAAAATATTCCCTTTAAGTCCCACATCACTATATTGGTGCACAGAAATCATGAGGGACACTTCTTTCCAATGTATAGGTTGATCCTGTTCTTTTTTGTTTCTCCATCTCACAAAGAGGTTAGAGCTCTGGGCTTCAGCAAATATAAGTGCATCTCAGCTACTTACTTAATGTATTTTGCACTAGAAAATCTGGCAGACACATGAAAAATCAACCTTCTGCAGTAGCTAAAATGGATTGCCATCTTTCTGGCATCTTAGTTTTGAAGTCAACTCCTACTGAGTTTGATCTTCCTGACTAGAAACTCAGGACAGGCTTCTGTATTTGGCCCAATAATACTAAAATATAATAAAGTAGTCAAATTTCTCTTTAAGGAAAATATCAACATCACAGTGTCTTCGATTCTCCATTGTCCAGTATTTAATTAAGTCACTAGACAAAAGAAAGAAAATGAATGTTCAGAAACACCACAGACTATAAGGTCCTTGAGCTTCTCCAGCACTCCGTTATGCTAGGCTCAAGGACTGGCTTTCCTTTTAAATTGCCCTAGAAGATCCTGTTTGAAACAGAGCGAAATTAGCTGGCTGCGTAAGAAATCCTTGGAGATGAGAGGAATGCACAGAGCTGCAGTACGCTGCCAGGCACTGAGCACTGCTCCAGCACACAGCACACACCTGGAAAGCTGCCATCACCAGCAGATGAGCTTTAGAAAAAGGAGCTGAAATAGTTTAAACACGGGTGCCCACATGCAGCGCCCACCCTACATCTCGTCCATCTGATGGGCAATATATTGCAGAGAAGAGCATGTCCTCACATCTCCACTGCTTGGCACTACAGCCCCAGACTCAGACCAACTTCAGCACAATCGAAGATGCTGCTCACACTGCTCCTACCCGAAAGGCAGAACCTCCAGCAAGGGGCAGCGCTCACAGTATGGAGCAGTAACTTCTAAAGACCACCACTGGTGTTTGCTCCAGTGCCCACAAAACAAGGTCTCTGGGGAAGCCAGAGGGGAGGTCTTACTCACACAGGATCCTCTCCAGGCACCAGAATTGCTCAGGTTCACAATGGCAGAAAAGGCGGCTAAACGGTGCGAGAAGCTTCTGTCCTGCCTACACCAGATACTTCATCATGGGACTTATGATTTACACCCTTTTGGACCTGATAGAGCTTGGCCATGCTGGACCCTGGGAAAATTATAGGCACAATGGGAATAATTTATTTTAACAAACTAAAAATGTATTGTGCTTTTGGAAAGAAATTCATAAATATTACGCTTCCATGGAGTAAAAACATTATGTGCCAATATATTTTCTGCCCCAACTTAGGAAACAGGTTCCCAACTCTATGATTACATAAATATGTTAGTGAGCACAGATTTATGAGTACATAACTCCTTCTTTCATCTAATGTATTTGCAGGTAAAAACTTCACTAACTTGTGCAATAGTTCTTACATGTTTGTAATATATCTCTACCTGAAGAGCAGCAAATTACAATAGCCAATTTTGTATATCAGACTGCTGCAGGGGAAAAAACAAACAAAAAATCAAACAACAATACTAACAAAACCAAAAAAGCACTGATCTCATATTTAATACTGTTTTCCCAACTTTTTCTCCCCAAAAATGCATAACATTAGTGTGTAAAAACTAAACCACCACATGAGGCATATTTTAAAGCCTCATATAATCAATGAAGTTTTTATGGCATCCTCAGAGCAAAGAATGTCCAAATATGGCTGAGAGTTAAGTACCCTGAGAATTGACTGCTCTTAATGAATTCACAGAAGTTTTTAAGTCCACATTTACCAAGAATCAGAAGAGAAATAAAGGGAAGAGAACAAGGTTCAACTCATTTTCCTGTACTATTCTCTAAAGATATCGGGTTATAAACATCCTCCATATCTTGGATACTGGAGGCATCTGTTGAATCTTGGTCGCTGACTACAATTCCTACTGAAGAAAGGCTAGAAATGAAAGAGTGCATCTTTTTTGCATAAATATCCCTAATGTTAAAATAGGGTAGGTCGTTACACTTCTCTTTGCGATCATTGTTGCATTGGTCTGTATCAATAGCTTTTTGCTTTTGATAGTACTTAGAAAACTTATTGAAAATGATGGTGATTGGAAGTGCTACCACCAGTATCCCACAGATAATGCATAGGGTGCCGAGCAGCTTTCCAGCAAGTGTGACTGGGTAAGTGTCCCCATAACCAACAGTGGTCATGCTAATGGTTGCCCACCACCAGCAAATAGGGATGCTCTGCAGTTCTGATGAGTCATCATCTTTCTCCACTGAGTAGACAAGCACTGAAAAAATAGAAATCCCAACAGACAAAAACAAAAGCAGCAGTCCAACTTCTTGATAGCTATGTCTCAGAGTGGCACCTAAAGACCGCAGTCCTACGGAATGCCTGGCCAGCTTCAGGATGCGAAATATCCTCATTAGCCGCAGGATCTGAACCACTTTCCCCATGTTTTCAATATCTTCGCTTTCTTCTTCCTTTGTGTCCACAGCCAGTGTGGCATAAAATGGGATAATAGAGACAAAATCAATAATATTGAGTGGTTTCTTCCAGAACTTCTTTTGACTTGGAGCGGCGATGAGCCTGATCACTAGTTCACCAGTAAACCAGATGATGCACGTAATCTCCACTGCTTCCAACACAGGGTCTTCAATCTCCCTGTCATGGGCATCCACCCTGTGAAATTCTGGCATGCTGTGAATGCACATGGCCACAATTGATGCCAGGACAACACTCAGGGATGACACGGCAATTAACTTGGCAGACAAGCAGTATGCAGGATTTTCCATTCTGACCCAGATCTTCCTTCTTATTTCACCAAAACACAGATTGTCAAACTTTTCTAGCTCTTTATCAAATATGGACGACTCTTCATTAGAGGAGTCTATACTGTCATTGCTCTTCTGATCCCAGTCTTTATCAGGACCTTCTTCTTTCCTTTCTTGGTACCGATTGCTGCAGCAGGAATCAATAAACAGCTCATTTATCCCCCAGTACTCTATTTCCTGGCAGAAGGAAAAGACACAGAGTTCTTCCATAACGTGGAGTTTGCCCGTATAGTAAAAATTCAGAACATATCGGAACAAGGAAGGATTTCTGTCAAAGTAATATTCTTTATCTGCAACACTATAATCATCACACAGTTCTAAAATAGCCTCTTCTGAATGGCATTTGAGAAGTTTTCCGAGTCTAGTATGGGGGAATCGGAGCAAGGTGCTTTGATCCACTGACTGCTTAAAGCCACCCACATTCAAATTGATAAGTTCTGTATCTTTGCCAGGTCTGCGGAAAAATTCACCGTAAACCATTTTGGACAGACAAGTTCCACTGCTGTTGCCCAATGAGATTACACTGAACCTGAAAAGAACACAATATATTGTTAGAGCACTTAATTCAGTTTTGCTCTTGTGACATATTCTTTTTTCCCTCTCCGGTTACCGTGAAATGCTGTAACAAAACAAACAAACAAAAAGAAGAAACTAAATGATGAATACCATTATTCAGCATTTCAGAGACATAGTTTTAAATCAGTTTGATAGTTTAACACAGCTTTATCAAATTTGAAAGCAATAGGTTCTGGTTTAGGTCTCCTTTTTCCCAGGGTGAAGGAAGAATGTTGCATTCAATTATGCAAAAAATTTTTAATTTAAAGACAGAAGACTTGTCAATCCATCAAAATATTTAGTACAAAGCTTTAGAGCAGGTGTCTCTCAACTACGTTTCAGTAGAACTGTATTGATTTATATGATGTTGCAATTTATAATCCACTACGTTCCAATGCTGTTTGCTTGAATGTGAACTGCAATTACTCCTGTTGACATATCAATTAATTTACTTCTAGAGTAATCCACAGAAAAGCATCCTGTATTCTTGAAAACACATTAAAAGTTCATTTAAAGATTTCCAATTCCTGCCTTCAGAATTTTGTCTAGAACATATACAGGTATCTGCAGTCCCATCAGTTACTTTTCTATCTGCCTTCCCACTCACCTGAAGTGTCACAACCCTCTTATGACCTTGGTCAGTTCGAGAAGCAATTCCTGTTCTGCCACAGCATAGCTACTACCACTATGGCAACGCTGAGAAGTTGGTGTTGAAATGTCATTTCTGGAAACAGGAGTTTTCAGAGATGGAACTTCCAGAGTGATTTTGCCTCAATAACTAACTGTGGATACCTGCAGATAGATAGAATGACATTTAAACGTTTCCATATTTCACTGTAATTTAAAACATTCAGCTGAAGTTGGATTCAAAAAGGATGTTATAGGTACTAAGTTAACTCTTACAGCAGAACACCTTTCTTGCTGTCCTTCTAAAAAGCAGTTGTCTTCGAGCCAAAACTGGCAGTTCTTACACTTGTCATCAGACTATATATAAACTTCTGACCACGAGGAAAGCAAATTTTTTTGATCTCTGACACTTAAACATTAATTGATGTGTACTACGCTAATTTATTTCAATTTAATATAGAAGTAAATTAATTTTAAATGTGACAAGATCGCATCAAAATTCTCTAGTCCTAAGAGATGACACCATATGGCACCATGCTCAGCATACAGAGCTCGGGAAGAAGAAGGAAAGGGGGTACATTCCGAGTGATGGCGTTTGTCTTTCCAAGTCACTGTTACATGTGATGAAGCCCTGCTTTCCTGGGGATGGCTGAACTCCTGTCTGCCCATGAGAAGAGGTGAATAATTACTTGTTTTGCTTTGCTTGCATGCGTGACTTTTGCTTTACTATTAAACTTTTTCCATCTCAACCCATGAGTTTTCTCAGTTTTACCCTTCTGATCCCCTGCTCCATCCCACTGAGGGAGAATGAGGGGCTGTGTGGGGCTGAATTGACACCTGGGGTTAAACCACAACACAGAAGTCATTTTGCACCTTAAGATGTAGTTTGATGCCAGGTATTTGCTAGCTAACAGAATGGTTATAAGACACAGTTTCTCCAGACACTTCCCAAGGCTTCAGCTTTTAGGAATGATTAAGATGTAACATAAAAACACTGATCTCACAGAATAAAGGCAGCAGGACTCATCCGATAAACATTACCACACTTAACTCATGATCTAGACCCAGGCCCTGTTTTGTAACACTATAAATAAAAAACCCATAAATACCATGGACTGGGGTCAAAGCATATTCAAACCCAAAAAGATTCTACTTATTGATTCATTTCAGTCAATAAAATCTCCACTTTCAGCAATTCATTAAGATGAGAACACTAGCAATGTAAGCCAGCACTATAAAAACCAGGCACCACCTCAGATCATAGAATCACAGAACTATGGAACAATTAGGGTCAGAAAGGACCTTAAAGATCATCTTGTTCCAATCCTTCCTGTCATGACTAGTGACACTTTGACTACACTAGGCTGCTCAGAGCTCCATCCAACCTGGCCTTGAACACCTGCAGGGATGGGACATCCACAGCTTCTCTGTGCAACCTCTGCCAGTGTCTCACCACCCTCACAGTAAAGAATTTCTTCCTAATATCCAATCTAAATCTACACGCCTTCAGTTTAGAGCCATTCCTCTTGTCCTATCTGGAGGGACCTCTGACCATGACAAGTACAAAGCAAGTTTTACTCAGAAATAACTAAAGCAAGAACTTAGTTGCTCAGTAAATCCTTAGTACAATAGACTGACTTACTGTTGAGACAGCAGTATAAAACCACATTGATTATGCAGATGATATTCATAATGGTGCCTCCATGAAATTGCTCTGTATAACAAATTCAGTGAGCAATAATTTACTGCTTTATTTTGAGGGCACTGTAGTCACAATTTGTGCAAGATACAGAAAGAAAGTGGATCTTGCTTAGAAAGGCCATGGTCCGGAACCTGCTGTATTACTACTATTATGTAATTTTTTAGGTTATGAAAAGAATGTACTGGAAAGATTCATGATAGCTAGGTCAAGAAGAGCTTCAGGATCTGAAGAATGTCTTGTTTGACTTGCAGGGACCTTGATTCCTGAGCCATGGTTTGTTGTGCTAGGTACCATCAGAACAATTTGAGGCATTTAAACAAGTGAATCCAGCCACAGGGTGGCTCAACACAACATGGTCTCTACTCAAGGGAACCCTTTACCCACTCAAACAACATTTTCTACTCAAGGGTAAAACTACTCAGCTGGAAACAATTTTTTCCTTAAGTGCCTTGAGTGCCAAAGACTCTGTCAGGAACATCCTAAGAACATAGAGCTACCACAAACTTTGCAAGTCTTAACTTGAAGAGCAACATTAATCTCTTTGATCTTCTGTAAACAAGTATTCATATAGAACATAATAAACTGCTAACCATTCCAAATCACACACTTCTTACCCTGGGGAGAGTATAAGAGAGCAAGTAAACACATACCAGATGTTAGTTACTTGTTTGCTTTAATTGCTTCAGTTGTTTCAGTGAGCTACTGGATAAGGACTCATATGGAATAGAAAATGAAATGACACAGAAGAAAGATGCTTACTGGAATAATGGACATTATTTTCCAAGATAATGAAAAAACCCCAACAAATAGAAGTTCCAAATGTTAAGCTTGAGGGCTAAATAAAAGCCAGTCATAAGGAAAGCTGTGTGAAAAGGATACAAACATTAGAATAAAAAACAAAACAACAGGATCTAACTCTTCCCAGTCCAATTTGAAGATGGGCTCTAGCCAGCACTTCTGCAGTCATACAGTGTTGGTGAGGCCACAGGCCCATTGTCTGCTTGGAAGGGGGACTGCAAATTTCTGGGCTTTTAGCACGCTGTTAAATCCCTAAAGCTCACAATAGGAGGGTCACAGAGACAGAGTTTGCATATATGATCCCTCTGAGACAGCTATGCCGCAGATGTATAACATACCCCAAAGTGCTGTGGTTTTCCAACCTCTTCTGGAACAAACCGCTTAAAGACTTTTAGTGGTAATGTGGATCCCAGACTACACATTTATTTGTCAGCAAAATTTCGCTTTCTCAGTTATTTCAGTTATCTTCCACATAGTATCTACACGAAGTCTGTGAGGTTCTACATCACAAGCTGCAGAATATCTTTTTGGACATGCTGCACATTTTAGCATGGTAGTACCTTGGCTACTGGTAACTCCAAATTAGGGCAGGTTCAGTTTTCTGTGATTACCCAGGCACAATAGAAAGAAAGTTTAACTGCTTTGCAGTTGAATAGGCTTTGTTGTGTTCTGCCACTTAAAATACTCAAAGACAGCACAAGCCCACAGATTTTCTACCAGTCTGCTCCATGGCTATGCTGTCCATAGCCTTGCCTCCTGCTTCCTGAACAGCTGCACTTCATAAGCCTCTGAAGACTAAATTCACATTTCAGGATGGTTTCCTCTAAGTTGAAGAAACATAAATACAAGGGCCTAGTCCTGCTCAGATTGAAGTCACAAGGGATACAACACTGACATCGCATACAAATCTCGGTAACTCTATAAAGTACTTCCAGAACCCAAGGAAATTTTTTCTCAAGGAATCTGATGATCTTGGTAGATTTCCATTTTAGGGTTCCCATTCAGAAAATTGAGTTCTGAGCAAATTCACTCTCAAGGGTCTTATTATTTGCCATGCCCAGTCACCAGATGACACAAATACCTCGGCTCTAACTTCTGCTAATTTCCTGACAGTTAACAGCTTCTCCAAATTTCCCTAGCTACACATATGCAGCTTTAGACACCTACTTTTAGAAAAGTTGTGGGTATGACCCTAACAAACTTCAGCTCAGGATCAACATTTCACTGATTTTTTAAGTGTTTGAATTTCTCCACTCATCACAGGACAAATACTTGTCTAAAGCACTGCCTAGGAGTACTGTCTATGCTTTCTGACTCACTGAGCAGAGAAAAACATCTAAATGCATATATAATTTACTTGATCAATCACAATTAGGGATTTGGACTGAAATCCAGTTAGTATGACTTAAGCTGTTCTCTGTCAGCAGGGCAGTAATAACTGCTTTAGCACACATAATTAAGCCTGAAAAAATGTAAGATAATATTACTTGGCACAGTCTCTTTCATTGTGATATAAGATGTAACATTCAACTCTCCTTTGTAATATTTGAGACAGTTAACTATAAAGTCATTCACAGCCTGTGGAGGCAGAGGTTAACTTTAAAAAGTCATCTAGCACAAACAGCAAGCCCATCTGAGAAACTGCTATGTAGTTATGGACGTTCTGTGAGGCAAAGAGGATAAATTCATCAGCTAAATTATTCGATCAGTTGTAATTTATTTTTTATATTCCATTGGCAGTAACATCCTTTATCCAGAATACTGCATTAAAACGTCATGAAAATAATAGAATTATGCAATTACATTTCTTTTAAAATGGATTTAGTAGAACCTCCCAGAAGACCTTAGGTAGATAAAGTTTGAATTGAAATACCCAGGGCCAAATTTTGTTCTGATGTTACTTCCAAGGAAGCCTACTTGGCTATGTTCACCCCTGTAAAATTCAGTTTTAGAAACCGAACTTATGCCAAATGTTTGTGCATCTTTGCAATAAAATGAAACCAGAAAGAAATTATAATAATTTGGAAACAACAGTAGCTGCTGACAATAAAATGTAAAATTATTTAAATATCCATACCTGTGGAAAAATATTCTTCAAATATAGTTTTGGGTTTGGATTGTTGTTGTTTTTTTTTAAATCACCTCCTCCAAAAGACTAATAAGGAAAAAATGAAGCTATTCTAACTCAGAGTAAAAGAACACAAGCAAGAAGAGCAATAAGCATCTCTAGTCCATGGTTCATACCACCTAGCTTAGGCACAGGTTTTCAAGGGGGGTGAATCACCAGAGGTGGGGTCCACCTCTGTACTGACTAGATAAGCAGCCTATATGACTAGTGCTATAAGGTGTATAACTTCCATGTGACTAACAGGAGGTAAAATGGATCCTGCCAAAGTGAAATTCTGCTGATTTCCACTATGAGGATGCTGCTGAGGACAGCATATACGCAAAGGGTTGGGTATGAAAAAGGGGCACAGGAGAAACACACCGGCTGTAGCATCAACATGAGAGAAGCTTCTTTGGGAATGCAGTCTGTGATCTGAATTGCTTTCTCATATACATAAAGAACAAGGAGCAAGATCTAATATCATCAGAATGTCATCTTGTAAAATTATTAAAATGAAAAAAAAAAAGAAAAAGGTATTTTCTACCTGACTTGAAAAGC